CCTCCCCAGATCTCAGCTCTGTCCTCCCCAGATCTCAGCTCCATCCTCCCTCCATCCTCCCCAGATCTCAGCCCCGTCCTCCCCAGATCTCAGCCACGTCCTCCCCAGATCTCAGCTCTGTCCTCCCCAGATCTCAGCTCCGTCCTCCCTCCATCCTCCCCAGATCTCAGCCCCGTCCTCCCCAGATCTCAGCCACGTCCTCCCCAGATCTCAGCCCCATTCTCCCCAGATCTCAGCTCCATCCTCCCCAGATCTCAGCCCCATCCTCCCCAGATCTCAGCCCCATCCTCCCTAGATCTCAGCTCCGTCCTCCCCAGATCTCAGCCCCATCCTCCCCAAATCTCAGCTCCGTCCTCCCCAGATCTCAGCCCCATCCTCCCCAGATCTCAGCTCCGTCCTCCCCAGATCTCAGCCCCATCCTCCCCAGATCTCAGCTCCGTCCTCCCCAGATCTCAGCTCCGTCCTCCCCAGACCTCAGCTCCATCCTCCCCAGATCTCAGCTCCATCCTCCCCAGATCTCAGCTCCATCCTCCCCAGATCTCAGCTCCATCCTCCCCAGACCTCAGCTCCATCCTCCCCAGACCTCAGCTCCATCCTTCCCAGATCTCAGCTCCATCCTCCCCAGATCTCAGCTCCATCCTCCCCAGGACACAGCCATGTCCTCCCACCAGGGCTCAGCTCCATCCTCCCCAGATCTCAGGCCAGTCCTCCTCAGGGCTCAGGGTCCTACCTCTAAGGTAAAGGCATTGCACCCCATTCACAAGGTGACCCCAGAAGAGCCAAGATAAGGGAGAGTTTGTGACTCTGTCTCCGTGGAGTCTTAGCCACAAAGGCAGCTCCTGATTGGCTGTCCCTGCCAGGTACACACTGGCCATGGCCCCAGGACAGCTTCCAGCAATGACCACCCAGGGTCAGTGTGTTTCTCTCAGCGCCAGGAGGGGCTGGCCTCATGCACCCGCTCCACAGCCCACAGCGCTGGCTCTGTCACACCCCTTAACTCTTCCACAGACCCAGGCCCTTCGATGCACATGAAGGTCAAGGCCGGGGACCTGAGAATCTGCTCTGTCTATGGCTGGCAAAGGACTGGGACCTCCAGCCTCCCCTGGGCAGCAAGGTGGACCCAGGCTGGCGGGGCCAATCCCAAGGTGGTGAGAGCTGCTGACCACTGCTGTGGCCACATCACCAGGCCTGGTGTTTGCCTACAGCAGTCCTGGGCACCGTGCCATGAGCCAAAACGGCTCTGCACTGCATGCAAATTACTCTCACTGGTCTGTTCTCTGTCCCCACTGGTTTTTCTCCAGGACAAAGGGACCTCTGAGAGGGCACAGGCACCCTGGGGGAAACCTGCAGCCCCTAACAAGCTCTTTGGGGTCTGACAGGTCTGGTCAGGTGACCAGAAAGTCACCCGAGCAGGGAGCCCAGAAAGCCCGTGCCACCAGCGACCTGGCCCTCTGTAAAGGCCAGGACCCGCCCACTTGCCCAGCGCTCTGGGACAAACTGGATTTTAATACTCGGAAGTCATCTTCCAGGGAAGATGGCTACCGGAGAAAGTTCCCAACAGCCCCTCCTCCAGATGAACCTGCCACCCAAGCCAAGCAGTTACAATCGGAAAGGGGGAAGTATCCCTCTTTAGAACCTTCTGAAAGCTAAGCTAAGCTATTTCTGAAGAAATAACAACCAGGTTGTACTGGCAAGGAAACAAAGGGAAGCCGCTGTGAAATCACCTCCCACACCTTTCTGATTACATTGTTAAGGAAGCGAGGAGAGAAAAAAGCCCCATGAGCGCTCCCTCAGAGCAGGCCGCCCTCCCTGGCCAGGCTGCCCTCCACGGGCTTCATTAAGGAAGACAGGCCCAATTTCCCACCGTGAGCACAGCTAACAGCCTGGAGACCCTGCAGGGGGAACACTGCCTTCAGACCATTCAGACCTGCGGTCAGCAAAACTCCTCCTTTCCTGCAGCCCCAACTGGGAAGAATAGCTTGCCAGTGAAGGTGAGCTCTGAACACACTGCCACCTGCTGCTCTTTCAACCAAGCTTTGTCCAATGGTCAGCTGCTGTGTGGGACCACCGCAGTGCAGGGCAAGACCAAGCCAGGGAAGCGGAGCTGGACTCTGTTCTTCGAGATGCACTGATTCTTGAAAACTACGAGCTGCTCTCATTCCCCCCATCACCCAGGGGTGACGGTGCTGGCATGCTTATGTGAGCCATCCACGCCCCTACTATCCACAGATTAAGTCCTGCACGTGCCTAGACCCACACGACAACAGGGGGGAAACTCCAACTTTTATCCTCATCTTGCAACTGGGGAAACTGAGTCTGGGATGGGCAAGAGATCTCTCTAAGATCTCACAGCTAAGAAACTGTGGGCGGGGATTCAAAGCCAGCTCTGGCCTCTGAGTGTCTTCGGTAAGAAAACAGCTTTTCTGGTAGGCTACAGCATTTGTTTTAGGGTCCCACTTTTAAAGATAAGAGAACGCTTTTGCCTCCATCTCCATGAAAAAAAAGACATTAGGAGCACTCAAAGACTCCAGAAAGACCGACAGTCTGACACAGCACAGCAAACCCACCGTGTTCAGCGTTCAGCCCTCCCTTCCCTCCACCGTCCCAGGACACCCGCAGGCTCCGGGAGTCAGGACCTGGAGCAAGGGAAAGTTGAAGAGCCGCAGCTCAGCTCCATAGCTAAACCCAGCCCGGCTCTCTGAATGCCACCCTGAACCCTCACCCCGCAGGACACCCCAAAGCACAACGGCATCTGCTTTACCTATACCTTCCCAGGCAAGAGGTCAAATCCGCACTCCATGCGGGCTGTGCCGGCCCCAGGCCAGTTCTTAGCACCAGTTCCTGAGAATCAACCACAAGCCGACCCCTCCTGGCTGTGGAACTCTACAGGCAAATGCAATCAGAGCCTACCTTGAAGAAGCCCCAATCACACGCAGTTTGGTACTACCAACGGGACCCAAGTGCCCACCTGACCTTGTGGGTCCTTCAGGCTGCAGGTGCCACCCATCCCAGCTCCCACTTGTGCTGGTCAGCCCACTGCCAGGATGAAACCACTCACATTATCTGGCTAAGGAAGGAAGTTTACCTTGGCTCTTGGGTTTCAGAGACCTCCATCCATACCCCACCAGCTCCATTGCTGTGGCCCTGGGCCAAGGCAAAACAGTGATGGCAGGAAAACGTAGCCACCGAGGCCGCGTGCCCCATGGTATCCGGAGAGAAAAGCAGGAAGGGCCCAAGGAGAAGATGCATCGTCAAGAGACACATCCCCGGGACCTGCTGCCTCCAGTGGGCCCACTCCCTAGCAGTGGCAAATGCATCAATGAATTCATGCATGCGTGAGGTCAGCATCCTCGGGACCCAATCATCCCAACAGCACCATTCACTGGGTCCTGGCCAATGCCTGAGCCTCTGGAGCCATGTCCAACCCCAACACTACCTGTCTCCTAACAGGCCGGCCATCTATCTCTCCATGGGGTAACAGCCTCGGCCTCTCCAAGACTGTTCACACTCACCAGCAGGCTCTGTCCTCTCCTCCCTCCCCTCCCCTGCCCCGTCTGAACACTGGTGAACATCAGAGTGAGCATGGGTGGCATTTACTAAGCAATTCCTTTGGAGACTGTGTGCCGTATTCACTGTGTGCATCCTTGCAGAGCGCTAGGGAGTGGCTATACTTATGACCCCGTGCTGCAGATGGAGAAACTGAGGTTGAGAACTAGCAGAGCAATTCTCCCAAGGCCTAAATCCAACACCCAATAGGGGTGAGCACCTGGCCAAGGCACCAAGGCCAGGCACCTGCACCGAGGCCAGCATTGTGGGGACTTGAACCCACGGTGACACTACGTGTCCCATGAGGACAAGCATTTCATCCTCATGTGTTCCACCGAAGCTGTAGGCCCCGCCCTTGGCACACAGACAAGGAGCACACACACATCACGTCTGTTTCCCGCTTCTCACGGAGCGCCAGGGTTGAGTCAGCAGTGCACCCGGCGTGGTGGGCTGCGCATCACTGCAAAAACACCACCCCAGGGAGCCCACCCCAGCACCAGAGATGCGAGACACAGCTCGGCACACACAGGCCGGGAAGCCAAACGTGGCCACATATCTAGAGGACCTAAGGGGTCTGGGTGGCTCCTGAGAACTGGGGGGAGGGACATCACCCATCTCATCTCACCCCAGGGGGAGGAGATCTAAGAGCCGGGATGGTCCCTGGAGACAATTTTCCAAACACTTGCAACCTCGGAGCCCTGGGCGGGGACGTTAATGCCAGTCACGGGGCCCTGGCTGGCACAAGATCCAGGCAGAGAGGGTATCAATCCCCAGAGTGCTGACAGAAAGTAGACTCAACCCTGGATGCGGGGACTCAGCAGGCAGGGCCCTACAAGCCCATCCTGTGGATGCTTTGGCTGATTATGTGGCCCGCCTGGACCTGCAGGGCCGCCAACCACCTCGTGGCAGCTAGAACACCACTTGTGCCAAGCCTCAACCAAGAAGGACTCCTCGGGCAGAAGTGGGGCTTCAGAGCCTCCTCTGCCTCCTACCACCCACCTCTGGGCATTTCCAGGAAAGTAGGCTCATCTGGCCTGGCTGAGTTTGAACGATGCCCTACCTATGCTCCAGGCGGCACACCCCGGCTGATTACGTCCACCCAGAGGACACTGCGCACTCCCCAGCATGGCCCTCGGTCACCACAAGACCCCAGTGTGTGCAGGCTGTAAGTTTCCAAAGTCTCAGATGCAGCCTGCCACGCCCTTGTCATGCCCAACTGGCACTGGGTCCTGACACCTTAGGTGCCACCGCCATTCCCATGTGGCCTGGTCCCTCCATCCCGTGGGACATAAGCACCTTGGGGCAGTCCCAGAGGCTTCAGGCCAGCCGGAACCATGCCCAGGCCAAAGGCCAGCCATCCCCCACCAAGGGGCAGGCCTCCACGGTTACCACAGTGGCTCCAGAGAGGAGCCTGGGGGGGGGGGGGGGCACGTGGCCACCCACCCTCCGCTCACCTCAAACACCTCCTCATCCAGGATGCGGGTGCCGAACACAATGATTCCGTTGACATCGACCATGGGGTGGTCGCTGCGGTCCAGGAACTTGGTGATCTTCTTCTTACAGTCAAGGATCAAGGTGACGTTCTTCTTGTGAACGCTGAGAGCAATTCTGTGCCACCTGTAGAGAAGCAGATGGCCCGCAGGGACGGGACTCAGAGCACAGATCGCCAACCCCAATGTCGGGGAAGACGCGCGTTTCCCCCTGTCACAGAGGGAATGCCCGGTGTGACCCCCAGAGTCACACTGGGCACACAGCCTTCCCAGTGCCGTGTGCCACCGTAAGGGGGACTCAGCTGTTGGAACCTCAGAAACTGCATCTCCCAGGCACAGGGAGACTTGCAAACCCCGCGGCCTCCTTGGAACAGCCAAGGGCACATAGGAAGCTCGGCGCAGGCTCAGGGATGGCCCACCGCCTCCGTCACAGCCACCAGATAAATGGGAGAAAGGCTGAGGTTCCGGTGTCTTTAGCAAGAGGGCCTGTCTCCAGTGGGGCATCCGAACACTAATGACAAATGCAGGGATTGGTTTTTGATGGGAAGTGGGGGGTCTCAATGGCTCGTCCAACAGTCCTATGAAGGAAGATGGGATCCACAGCCCAACACAGTGGCCAAGGCCACCACAAGGCCTGAGACACGCTGCCACGGAGATACCACAGAGACACGCTACCACAGAGACACGCTACCACAGAGACGCCACAGAGACACGCTGCCACAGAGACACGCTACCACAGAGATACCACAGAGACACACTGCCACAGAGACACACTACCACAGAGACACACTGCCACAGAGACGCCAGAGACACGCTACCACAGAGATACCAGAGACACCACAGAGACACGCTACCACAGAGACACGCTACCACAGAGATACCAGAGACACCACAGAGACACGCTACCACAGAGACACGCTACCAGAGATACCACAGAGACACACTGCCACAGAGATACCAGAGACATGCTGCCAGAGATACCACAGAGACACACTGCCACAGAGATACCAGAGACATGCTGCCACAGAGATACGACAGAGATACACTGCCACAGAGATACCACAGAGATACCACAGAGACACACTGCCACAGAGATACCACAGAGACACACTGCCACAGAGATACCACAGAGACACACTGCCACAGAGATACCAGAGACATGCTGCCACAGAGATATGACAGAGACACACTGCCACAGAGATACCACAGAGACACGTTACCACAGAGATACCACAGAGATACACTGCCACAGAGACAGACTGCCACAGAGATACCACAGAGACACCACAGAGACACGCTACCACAGAGATACCAGAGACACACTACCACAGAGACACACTGCCACAGAGATACCACAGAGATACACTGCCACAGAGATACCAGAGACACACTGCCACAGAGATACCACAGAGACACGTTACCACAGAGATACCACGGAGACACACTGCCACAGAGATACCCGAGACATGCTACCACAGACACATGCTGCCACAGAGACATTCTACCACAGAGACACCACAGAGACACGCTGCCACAGAGAAACACTGCCACAGAGACACAGTGCCAGAAACATGCTACCACAGAGACACGCTACCACAGATACCACAGACACACGCTGCCACAGAGACACGCTGCCACAGAGACACCACAGAGACATGCTGCTAAAGACACGCTACCACAGACACACGCTACCACAGATACCACAGACACACGCTGCCACAGAGACACCACAGAGACATGCTGCTAGAGACACGCTACCACAGACACATGCTACCACAGAAACATGCTACCACAGACATACCACAGAGACACACTAGCCACAGAGGTGCCTTGCCTCCAATAGAGAATACTAACAAGACCCCCCCTCTTTGTTTTATATCTTCTCTGTGCAGTGTGTCACTGGTTCACACCTGTAATCCTAGCTACTCAAGAGGAGAGAATCTCAGGGCCAAGGTTAGAAGCCTGGGCTGGAAAGTCTAAGAGACTCTTACCTGTAATTAACCATCAAAAGCTGAAAACGGAACTAGGGCTCAAGTAATAGAGCACCAGCCTTAAGCAAAAAAGCTAGGGGACAGTGCCCAGAACCTGAGATCAAGTCCTAGTTAGCAGCACACACACACACACACACATACACCATCATCACCTTGCACGTGTCCATGTCCAGAAGGGATTCTGCAAGGCCCTCTAGAACAAGCAATGTATGTCCTCTGTCCCTCCTGACAAGGCTGACATGAAATGCATTGAATGCATTTTACAAGGAGAAATGGGGGTGCAGGGAGGAGCAAGGACTCACCCAAGGAGTGAGAAACCAACATGGAACCGGAGGACCCCAGCCCAGTGCTCTGTCTGCCTGTGCCCCCGCGTGCTGTCCCTGTGACCCCCACTGGACATCCTGCCACGCTGCCCCCACCAGCCTGTGCCCTCCCCATGGAAAGAGGCCTGGGCTGCCCCCGGACCACTTACTTGCCATCTGACAGGTTGATACCCCGGAAGAGGGGGTAATCTTCAGGTCCAGGCTTTCCCATGTGGTCCTCATAGAGGAAGACTGGGGAACGGCCCATCTCCAGGCCAACCTGCTGGATACCCTGCTCATTGTAGATGGAGACCAGGAAGGCCTGGCTGCCTTTCTTGGCTTTCACAGTGGTCAGGATAGAGAAGTCCTCAGGAAATGCAGATGCTGGAACAGAAGGCAGAGATGAGAAGCGCTGCCCAGAGACAGCCACATGCATCTAAACCAACTCCGAGACCAGCATGTGGCCATCTGTGGCACACCGTCACATGATCAAACCATTCCTGGAGTCCTTCTCCATCTCAACATGGCTGAGCTGCCCTGTCGAGGTTGGGTCCTAATGCCAGCTCCCCCACTAGACCAGAGAGGTCCTCCCTGGGAGGCCCTCATGCCCAGGACCTGGCGGGGCTGTTGCTGACATGGCTCTGTGTTCTCTGTAGTGTGTCTGTGGCTCTCGCCACCGGGGGAGAGGGGACACAGGGAGGGGACACAGACCCGGAGCCAGGACTAGAATGTCACTTTTAGAGATTTCCCGGTCAATAAGAAAACCACATAAAATTGAAGACTTGTCATTTTGAATTTTAACAAAAATAAACCCCTAACATTTGACAGGAGGAGCTATCTACAGCCAGACCTAGGCTGAGCCTATCCATGCTGGCTTCAGCCTCCTCCTCCTCCCCCACCTTCCCCTTCCTCCCCCTCCCCCCCCCTCTTCCTCACTCTCCTCCCCCTCCTCTTCCTCCTCCTCTCGGTGGGTCTCACTGAAGTCAGTGGTTCTGCCAACACATGTGGTCTGCAACCCTGCCAGGAGCCTGGGGCTGAAGGGGAGCACACAGCCGGTCAATGTCTCATGCTTCTAGCAATGGCATTTGGTGAGGAGAGGCTGGCTGAAGGAGAGGGCCGGGGCCTCTGCAGAGCCACCAGCCTCGGTGAAACTTTCAAATGCTGGGGGATGGGCTGGCTTCTGGGCTGGGACCAGGCAAGACTCTATTAGCTGCCCCTCTCCTGGAGAGCCAAACAAGGTCAACCAGATGGCCCAGAAGGCTTCTGGCTGTTGCCAGGCAAAGCTGTCTGTGAGTGCCCTCTACTGACACAATCCAGAACTGCAAGGCAGTCCTGGAGAAGCCAGATGGCAAAAGCAACCACGCCCAAGACTCATGAAGCTGTCTTCCTCAGAGCCCAGAGGAAACACGGCTGCTGCCACCTGCACCTCTGCCGTGGGACAGGGCAGAGAGCTCAGTGAAACCAACTGGACCCTCAAGGCTGGCACAGGGCATGGTGTGGAGAGAGGCAGAGGGAAGAACTCCCCAGTGTGGGGCCTGATCCTTGCTAAGGGTCCCAAAGGGTTCCCGGAGGAAAGTCCAGACTTCCCAGCCCAGGGTCAGGTGCACGTGGGGCGTTGTCTGTGCTCGAGGCACCATGACCAGCACCCCCACAGGCAGGGCCACTTGTCAGGGACAGCTCTAGGAGCGGGTGACAGGGGTCCATGAGGGAGCTGAGAGAGAGGTATCACCGCAGAGCTCGGGGACTGCCTTCCGCTCCATGACACCAAAGAAGAGGTCTGCCACTCAACCCGGGGCATCACGCTGTCCTGGGCAGTGGGGGTGTGGGAGGGGCACCACAGCTTCAGCTGGTACCAGGCAGACAGTGAGTCCTGCTGTACACCTAGGGTCGGGCCAGCCGCAGAGACGGCAGGGTCTCACCCCCAAAGGGCCCCGGGGGGCGCTGGGCCTGCAGCAGCTCCGTGGTTCCCCCTCCAGGGTAGATGGCACAACTCCCATCTCAGCCAGCACCGCTTGCTCTCGCTGGGAAGGGTCCCCTGCCTCTCTCCCCCACCCCACCCCAATCACGACCCTCTCTGAAATAACCACGGAAGGTGAGAGAGTTCACGTTCTCCAGTAGGAGGCGCAGCTGAGGCCCACAGACCTGCGTCTTTCCCATTAAAACGCTGTTTCACAAATTTTAAACTCTCTATGGCAACAAATTTTCTCAGTTCAGATAAAACCTGAAGAGGTAAATTATGTTTCACATTCATCTCCCTCCTGGCAAAATAACAATGGATTTATTGTCACTGTAAGACGGCCCCATCTCATCATGAGCCGGGCCACTGACACACGCTACCGTCGACTGTCGGCAGTCCTGGGAGAAGTGGGTCTGCTGTCCAACGCTTCATATTTCATCTCTCCCCGAAGTCCCACCGGGAGGGGCGGGCTTGGCACGGGCCCGAATCCCTTCCTCCACACATTCGTCTTGTCTTTGCGGAATGCCCTGAGGCATGCGAGCATTTTAGGAATACAGCAGGAGGCAAATAGATGTGTGTTGGCCACAGAACGGAGTCGTTTCTATGACAAGTTATCAGAGGCATTGACAAACCCCTTGATTTGCTCAGGTGATCAACGGCTGTGACTGGTCCCCTATGAGGTACCAGGCAAGAGACAGAGGAGGTCTCTGCACCCAGGACGTCACTCCTCTGACCCCAAGGACAGAAGCTGTACTAAGGAAGGGTACTGGCAAAGGGAGGGGCAAAGACTTGCCGGTTAACGGCGTCCAATCAACTGCCTCCACTGGCCAACGGATGGGCATCCCAGAGGCCTCAGAGCAGGGACGTGAGGAGGGATGGGAAGAGGGAGAGGGGAGCCAGAACACAGCACAGGCACAGAACCAGGAAGGCGTGGCCTCTATTCCCAAGATGAGACTGGGGGAGCCTTGACCTGCCTCAGCGGGGACTCAGGACAGCCTCATCACCGAGGGGACACTCAGAGGGGGACGTGACAGCGGGGGGCACTGGCTGGGGGGGGGGGGGCGGGAGGAGCCGTGACGGGAGGACCCGTGGATGCATGCAGGGAGCTGCCCGGCGCTTCTTACAGGTCTCAGCCAGGGCCACCTCCATGCGACACCACCACAGCTGGCAGAGAATGGCAGGGCCACACGTCCCGGGCAGGCAGCCCTTTCAGGACCCAGGTCCAGGTGACTTGTTAGGGGTGAAAAGTAGGACAGTCCACCAGGAGGACTCGGGGGACGGTCCACCAGGAGGATCGGGGAACAGCACACTGGGAAGACTCGGGGGACGGCCCACTGGGAGGACTCGGGGGACGGCCCACCAGGGGGACTCGGGGGACGGTCCACTGGGAGGACTCGGGGGACAGCCCACTGGGAGGACTCGGGGGATGGCCCACTGGGAGGCCTCGGGGGACGGTCCACCAGGAGGATCGGGGAACAGCACACCGGGAGGATTCAGGGAACAGCACACCGGGAGGACTCGAGGAACAGCACACCAGGAGGGCTCGGGGGACGGCCCACCAGGGGGACTCAGGAGGTTCCCTGTCACAGAAACCTGGGCTTTGCCGCACATTGACCCGTCACAGAAACGGGCTTCACTTGGCACTGAGACACAGCTGCCATCATGGCTTCTTGGCCCAAAGGGCCCATTCCTACTTCAGACACAAACTTTTAAAGTCCTGATAGATTTGAGGGGACTCTAGAAAGCGATGGGGAAATTGTACAGAGAAGAAAAGCCCCAAGTTGTCCAGAAACCACAGCCGGCAGGAACATCCTCCGGGGACGCAGCAGGGACAGAGACAGCGCTGTTTGTTAAAACTGTCCCAAACCTGGCTCAGTGCTAAGGTCACTTCCAGGCCACCAGAAAGATGGAGCACGGACTTCTGATCATTGGGAACACCTCTCACAAGGTGACCCTGCCTGCCCGAGACCCTACGTCTTCTCTCACGTAAGTCAGCTGGCGTCCGACTGATTTCAGACCGTCCGGGGCAGCACCTCCAAGGCAGGGGCAGAAGGGGTCGATCGCCCGCCGGATTCCACATGGCCAGAGAAGCCCAGAGGGTTCATGGACTCCAGTGGGCAGGGAGGAGGGGACCTGCCCCTGGGTGGTGAGAGGGACAACTGGGTGCCACAGTGTATGAGATTAAAAGGAGAAGTCTGGCTTGGCGATCTGTTCTCATTAGAGCCTCTGCAAGCTAGCTTCGAGTCACCATGCTTGATGCACGTTCCCGTCACTCACTGTCCCCAAGTTCAGCTTCCAGCCTCCCCAGCGGCCCTGCGCCCGCCCTCCCTCACCTCCCGGGGAGCCAACCCTCTCCCCTTCCTGTGTTTGTGACCCCACGGGCTTCCCGGCTGCTGCCGGCCTGGGGACGGAGGGGCTGCAGGAGCCCTCCCTCCACAGCCACCAGGCGCGCCTCTTACCCGGGTACAGCTGCTTGGTGGGCGCGCTGAGCTGGGCCTCCTTGGTCACTCGGTAGGCGACGTCCGGGCCTTTGGCAGAGCGTCGTGAGGCGCAGAAGCCTGTGGTCTTCGTGATGCCATCGGGCAAGTTGTGAAAATCTAGAACCTTCAGGAGATCTGCTGGCTGAGCTGAAATGACAGAGGAGCTGGAATCAGCCACGGAGAGGGGAGGAGCACGGGGAGCACGGGAAAGGGGAGGACTTCGGAGGCTGCCGCAGCCCTCACCACACCCAGCACAACCACATATGTCTCCAAAGAAGCTGGGGACCAAGCAGCTGCCTTATCCCAACACGCGCAAGCAGTCCCACACCAGGAGCAAACCTCCCCTCCAGCCTCTGGGGGTGCCTGGGGAAGAGCAGGGGTGTCTCAGGCCTTAAGAAGCTGACCCTCCCACCACCGGTGCAGTGGTACTTGCTAAAGAGCTCAGCAGTCACCCCCAAAACACGGCAGCCCCTCAGCCAGCACCTCCTCCCCCGTGTCACGAGAGCGTGGGGCTGTGTGCCTGCCTGGTGCCCGCAAGGGATCACGCGGTTCCTACCCGGTTCAGCTCCCACTCATGAGGCGCGGGGGAGCCGGGAGAAAATCAAATCCAAGTCGGTGCCACAGTGCAGAACAAGGTGTAGCCCCTGGTGTCTCAGCACCCACAGCCGTGTCCCTCCGCCCACTGGGGCCTGCCTGGGGCTGGCCATGCCCTCCACTCGGGTGAAGAAACACCGACACCGACACCCATCCCAGATGACCAGGCTAGGCTAGAGACGCCCATCCGGGGGCTTTTCCTTCCGGTGGGAGTGACCCACTACTCCGCTGACGCCACACATAGAACATGGCCTGGGTGGAACAGGCTGCTGTCTTCCAGCCGCAGCGAGTGCCCCTCTGAAAGTGAGGGCAGACCCCTGCCACGCTGCGTGAGCACCTGGATCAAGCTAGGCCTGAAAGTGGGTGTGTGCACACACCAATACGTTCACCCTTACAGGTGGCCTTAACAGGAGAGCCACCTGGCAGGAGGCCCTGTGTTCCAGGAGGGCAGGCCTGGACGGGTGCGGGAGTCATGCAGGCCCAGGGTGTGGTGTGACTAGCTGGGAGAGAGGGAGACTAGCCTGGGCCAGGCTCCGGTGGGGACTGGAGAGGGCAGCGTGGCTACAGGAGGCTGCACAAGGCAGAGACCAGGATGGCCTCAGCTCATCTCAATCGCCGGCTCTTGTGGCCTCCTGTTTTCCTGATTAGGCCCTGGCCCTTCCCCAGCACCCAGACCCCCGCAGTGTGTCAGTCCTTCACCTAATCTATGCTGTGCCCCGTATCTGAGGCCCCTCTGGGCCGCTCAGAACTAGCGGCAAAGCTCTCACTGGGGCTTGTCCGCCAGACACCTGAGTCCATGCGGAGTGCCAGCACTGGCAAGGCCAGGTGGCACTACCCCAGGCCTGGCCCCAGCCGTGGGAAGAGACGCGCGTGCCAGCTGCTGGCACACCTGTCCCAAATGACACAGCACTGGGCCCCGGTCATCCCAGGCTTGGCTCCAGGCTGGCGGCGTCTGGGGAAGGTATCAGGGATCTCGGCCAGGAGGCCTGGACACACCGCGGCCAGCGAGGATGCTCTTCCCAGACAACAGGCTGGACACCTGTTTTCTCCATCCGAAGGGATGGCAGCTCCTCTCCACAGCCTGCCTGGGCACCGCTGCAGACCAACGTCACCGCTTAAGAAGGTCACCAGCCTCCCTCTCCCCCCCAGGCCCCGCACCATCCTTCACCCTGGCCAGAGCACAAGAAAGTTTAGTTCTGACACTGGGGCTTGAACTCAGAGCCTGGGTGCTGCCCCTCGGCTTTTTCACTCAAGGCTGGTGCTCTACCACTTGAGCCAGGGCAGTACCACTTCTGGCTCATTGGTGGTAAATTGGAGATAAGGGTCTCAGAGACTTTCCTGCCCTGGCTGGCTTCCAATCATGACTGAGGAGCACACTGTAAGCCTCCACGGAGGTGTCTGTGGGTCCCCACACCTACCCTCTGGGGCCAAGCACCCATGCTGAGGGCCGACGGCTCCATGCTCTGCTCACGGGCTGGCCCATCCATAGGACAGCTGGTTCATTCCAGCTCAGCCCAGCCTCCTCCCAGCCCTCCCTGCCACAGCCTGGGGACAAACTACATCTCCCAGATGCCTTTGGGGCAGCTCAGGATGAAAACTAGTCATCACAGCATCCTGTCCCGGGTGCAGATGTGAAGGATTAAGGGATGCCCTATTGGCTTGGCTCCAGGGGTCAAGGCAATTGAGGTGTCAAGACCCACATGCCAGCAAGTGTAGCAGCAGCTTCCTGCTGCCTGGGCCGCAGCCTCCCTGCGGTGTGTGACCGAGAAGGTCGCCGAAGCAGCACTGCTCGGTGACTGCCCTCCAGTGACTGAGCGACCATCACCAGAGTCACCAAGTTTTCTTCCTCCTGATGGCCTGCTTCCTACCTACAGCATGCTCTGTTCTGCCTGTGACACATGGCCACCCTTGGGTCGCCCAGGAGGGGCAGGGCCAGCACAAGGCCACTGAGCTCAGAGTCCAGACCACAGGAGCCCTGCCCCTAGGAGTCAGGAATCTTGCTGCTGCTTCTGTATGGGCTCTCCAAGGGCCCACATCCTTGGACCATTCTAATGAGAAAACCAGGTGTGGCACCTCCAGATAAGACACAGGTGAAACTGAATTCTGGGTGCCAAGCACCATAAGAAGTAGCATGAAATCTCTGGAAAGAAAGGTAGGCCTCTGATAGCAGTGCTTCCCAAAGGTGCTTGGACAGAAGGGTCCAGGACAGATGATGGGTGGGTGGGTCAGTAGATAGATGGATGGACACATGGGTGCATGGATGGATGGATGGATGGATGGGTAGATGGATGGGTGGATAGATGGATGGACACATGGATGGATGGATGGATGGATGGATGGATGGATGGATGGATGGATGGATGGATACATGGGTGTATGGATGGATGGATGGATGGATGGATGGATGAATGAATGGATGGATGGACACATGGGTGGATGGATGGATGGATGGACACATGGATGGATGGTTAGATGGGTAGATGGATGGATGGGTGGGTGGATGAGTAGATGGGTGGATGGATGGATAGATGGATGGATGGATGGATGGATGGATGGGTAGATAGATGGATGGATAGATGAGTAGATGGGTTGATGGATGGATTAGTGGATGCATGAGTAGATGGGTGGATGGCTAGATGATGGATGGATGGATGAGTAGATGGGAGATGGATGGATAGATGGATGACAAATGGATGGACACATGGATGGATAAGTGGATGGATGAATAGATAGGTTGATGGGTAGATGGATGGATAGATGGAGGGATGGATGGATGAGTGGATGGATGGGTGGATGGATAGATGGAGAGATGGGATGGATGGGTGGATGGATGAGTATATGGGTGGATAGGTGGGTGGGTGGGTGGATGGATGGATGGATGGATGGATGGATGGGAAAATAGATGGATGGACAAATGGATCATGGAAGCACAGAAAGGGAACCCTCACCATGAAAACACATAAGGGGTACCTTCACCAACTGCAGCACCAGCATCTCATCTGTCCAGCAGAACAAAGGTCACCCACAGCTAGAAGGACCACTATAGCACAGAGGCCCTGCAAGGATGGGGACAGGAAGCTGTCCCCAGGGTTTATTCACCCCTGCCCTGTCCAGCAGGGGCTGGACACTCAAAGTGCCTGTCCCCACCTGACTTATGCTTGACCATTGTTTACTGGTCCAGAAGGTTCCATGAGGGATCTGTGATCTGTCAAATGCTAGCTCATCTTAGCACAGAGTCCCTGCCATGACCTGATCACTCATGAGCCTCCGCTCCACAGGAAGTGGCCTCTCCTCAGCCAGCCCTGTCACCTGAGCTATGCGGCACCTCCACCTCACAGCACTGCCGTAATGCTGCCTCTTCCATCTGCTGGGTGCCACGCCCACTTCCTCGTCGACTTGTCCCCCATGAAGTTGCCCCTTGGGAGAGACATTAATGTCACTTCTATCTCGTTAGAAGGTTAATGCCAGGGCCTGGCTCCTGGGTCCCAGGGATCAGGATCAACAGGAAATACACTCACCACTCCGGGCCTGTCTCTGACCCTAGGGACTGCACAGCCCGGGCCACACTGCCACCTACCACTGCTGCTGAATGTAGCTGTGGTCCCCAGGCCAGGAATATCCAGGAATCCTGAAGGCTCAGGATCCGGGGCGCCCAGCAGCACCACTGGACCACACACCCGGGCCCCAGCGGCTGGGGGAGGGATACTGTCCACACATGCTTCCAGGCCTCCCTGCATCCCTGCTTTTCTGTGGACCCCCATGTCACCTCCCCAGGAGGGACACATTGCAAGAAGGGCGTCACCAGGGGCAGGGGCAACAGGAGGCTGGGGTCCAGCCTGGAGTATACGGGCAACCGAGGTCTGAGCACCAGGCAGAGTAGGAGCCTCACTGGTTCCTTCCTCCCAGCCATACAGGTCAGGGGGCAGGGAGGGACTGTGGGGTGCAGTTTAAGGTCACAGGAACAAACAGACCAACAAGGGAGAAGGGAAAAGGCCCCAATCAAACTCCTAGCTATGATGTCTTAGTATCTGTTTAAGGGTAACCCACACATACAAGGGAGACTCAAAATTCACGAACACTTCATTAAAGCTGGGTGCCAGTGCTCACACTTACAATCCAAGCTAATCAGGAAGCTGCGACCTGGAGGATCCCAGCTCAAAGTTAGCCCTGGCAAACAAGTCCACAAGACTGTATCTCCAATCAACCCATGAAAACAAAGCAAAATAGAACAAAAAAGCCATGCACCAGTGGCTCATGCCTTTAATCCTAGCTACTCCGGAGGCTGAGATCTGAGGATCTCCATTGAAAGTCAGCCCAGGTAGGAAAGTCTATGTGACACTTATCATCTCCAATTAAACACCAAAAAAAAAAAATTCTAAGTAGAGCTGTGTGGCTCAGATGGCAGAGCACAAAAGCTCAGGGACAGTGCCCAGGCACTAAGTTAAAGCCCCAGGACCAGCACATGTGCGTGCACACACACGCGCGCACGCACACACACACACACACACACACACACACACACACACACACACACACACAGAAGCAGCAGCAGC